CAGGACCAATCGCATGCCCATACATGAGGGTCAGCGCATATAGCTCTGACACGGCCCCGCAGCACCCTACCTCGTATCGCAACACGAAGGGGTCGATCGCAACCGATCGATGAACCGCAACTCATCATAATGTTTGATCGCAACCAAACAGTGGACCGCAGCCCAAGAGTGATCATCTGACCGCAGCCAGGAATATGAACCGCAACTCATGTAAAACGTTTGATCGCAACCAAACGGTGGACCGCAGCCCAAGAGTGTAATTCTGACCGCAGCCAGCTTCTGAACCGCAGCTCAGGAATAACCAATTTGATCGCAACCAAATTGGGGTATCATGCACACATAACACATAGCAAGCACATGCAACCTCACATTAACACATTGGGGAAAGGGAGAAAAACGTATAATGAAACCTATGCGTGGTCATCCACATACTTGGATTAATCCTAAGGGGTTCATACTTCTTCCACCTAGGCCAACCGGATACTAATTCGACTAGCATGCGATATATAAGACTTATTTATCCTACGAACGGTACCCGAAACATCAACTAGACTTAGGCACGATAAACGGAGTCCATTGGGACACCACGAGGATCGGGGAAACATCAAACGGGGAAGCCGAAGTCCCAAGTTGGGCAAGTTCCAGCGGGTAGCCGGTGGGTGGAGGATCACCCGCCGGCGATAAACCTCCGGGCAGCGGGTCCCCCTACCCCCACTGACTCTTTATCAAAATAAACGTCCCGGGATCCTTCGTGGAACCCGAAACCATGCTTAGACGTTTTTTAAACGTAATTGGTGACACCACGTAGACAATTAACGGATCAAAAGCAAGAATCATATAACACACATCTTAATATGATTTCTAAGTATAATCAACCCCTGAACATGCAAATTCCCACCCAATTATATCAAGAATATCACAATACAAATTTCACGATTCATCCTAGGGCTCTAACCATATTTAAATCATCATGATCATAGTTCATCTTTTAACATCAAGAAACATCAGGATTTATCAAGAACATCACATAATCATCAAGAACCTCTTATCATCATCAAGATCTCACATAAAATCATCTCACCAATTATCAAGATCATAACATCAATACCATAAACGATTCATCGAGACACAAGCATAGAGAAGAAGCCAAGGAAGGAGATTATAGCAAAGAAAATAGGTTTTGTTAAGACATGGGTTACCTCTTAGCCTTAATTAATTTCCTTGGCTATGAAGGGTCTTTATTTAAGATTTCTCCTTTCTCGATTTCTCCTAAGGGAATTCTTGGAACTTCTTGTGTGGTGAGAGATTATTTGTGGTGTGAGTTCTGGGTGTCTCCTATGTCCCTATTTATATAATTAAGAGTCCTGATTAGGGTCTAAGTGGCATGGGTTTACTAATTCTATTTCTTATAGGACTAAGGGGTTGGCTTTAGGGATAAAAGTCCATGGGCTTATGGTGGACCTTTCCTAATTAATTAATGAGATTTAATCCTTCTTTCGGGGCAAATGGTTAATTGGTTTATGGGTCGTAACACGGGGTGTTACAATGGAGACTTAATTCGAGGACATGAACGGGCAAGGACGGAGCCAAAGGGGGGGCAGGGGGGCGGCTGCCCCCCTCACCCCACCCCACCCCCATATATAGTCTTTGTATGTATATATGTATATATAGTACATGTTTTAGTATTAGTATATAAAAACTATAAAATGTTAACAAGAAGTGAGTTAGATTAGGTGGTAAAGCATATATTTGGCAATGGTGAGGTCAAGGGTTCAAATCTTAGCATTAACATAATTTTACAATTCTTTTTACTCATTGCCCTATGACTTCAACACAGTCACATTTTTAATAGCTTCTTTAAACACACACACACACAAACACAAATATGTATATATATATATATATATATATATATATATATATATATATATATATATATATATATATATATATATATATATATATATATATATATATATATATATATATATAGGGAAGGGTTCAGGTGCGGGTATAGCTTCCCGTGCGGTTAGATCTGAGCCGTTGATATCAATGAAAATTTAAATAAAAAAAAAAACGCGTGTCTGGAAGAAAGAAGCATAAGCTAAAAATGGCACACCTTAAGTGATAGAAACATGCACCTTAAGTGTTAGATTTTAAGCACAAACTCACGCACATTAAGTACAAAATCCACACACATTAAGCACAACCTCACGCATATTAAGCACAAAACACACACACTTTAAATATTAAACTCACAGACTTTAAGTTTCAACAACTATTGACATTAAGCACAAACTCACACACATTAAGTACAAAATCCACGCACATTAAGCACAACTTCATGCACATTAAGCACAAAACTCACGCACTTTAATTATTAACTTACAGATTTTAAGTTTTAACAACTACTCACATTAAGCACAACCCCACGCACATTAAGCACAAACCTCACGCACCTTACGCACAAACCTCACGCATCTTAGTCACGGTTCCGCTCACCTTAGTTTTGACCTAGATGCAAAAATTACAAAATTGTCACCGCGTTTTTTTTTTAAATTTTGATAATCCTAGACGTTGAGCGAGATGAATGGCCCAGATTAAACCGCACAACCGCACCTGGACACCTTAACCGCACTCGAACCTAATTCTATATATATATATATATATATATATATATATATATATATATATATATATATATATATATATATATATATATATATATATATATATATAACATTCTTTTATATTAATAATGAGATGTGTAATTTATAATGTGTTTTCTATTCAAATTATTTTATCAAATTAATTATGTTTCATATTCTGTTATGAATATATTTTTATAAAGTTTCGATGTGTTTTATTTTTCGTCCATATCTTACAATATTTACAACTATATTTTTAAGTAATTTATTTATTTATTTTTAAATTATCTCTTTTGTTTTAATGTTTCGCCTTTACTGAAAAAATTTTCTGAATCCGTCTGACGTCTGTACTGTTTCGTCCCCCCCCCCCCCCCCCCCTCAATCGAATTTCTGGCTCCGTCCCTGTGAACAGGGACCCCACTCCTCGCCCTCGCCTTGCCCCATGCCATCCCTAACCAACTAAATCAAGATAGAATCCTTTGTAAATATTGAAGTCTCTATGAGAGATATCAAAGTTGTGATAAATGATATTCGAGTAACCTAGGTCCAAGACTCTAAGCTTATTGGTTATTGCTCTAGAAAAGGGTGAAGGTATAGTAGCAGTTTGTGGGCGAGTAGAAATCAAGCATCTCAACAAAGGAGGTCAAGGTGACTTCCAAAAGCCAAAGGGCAACAGCTATAGGGGCAATAGTAAAGGAAGTACGTCAAGCATCTCATGGTATATTCTTGCTGGAAATATACCTTAGCTTGTCCAAATATTGTGGAAGCAGCATTTCAAAACTATCTATTTGGTGTGCTTACTCCCAGATATGCAAGTTAGGAGATTTGAAAACAATTTGATGCATTGACAAACAACATCAAAGAAGTTAAACGTTGGAGTTTGGTAGAAGTAATTAGTAAAAGAAGATGAGGTAATAACAAGAGTCAAGACTTTTCTCTACTTTGGTATTCTTTTTGTAACCTTGAATTGTATATTGCTTTATTTTACGTTAGTTGTTTATTTATGTCTTAGAAATTTTTTGTAAAACTCATATTTGGTGTGCTATGAAATATAAATAATAAGTGATAAAATATTTATAAGTTAAAATGTTCAAGATACATCCACAAATTAAAACGAGTCTATGAAGTCGAGTCTAAAAAAATGTCTTTTATTAGAACAAATTGTCAAACTCTCAAATGGCTTAAATAAGTAATAAAAGAAATTTCAAAGTGTTTATCAAATTAAAATTGACCAAGTTTGAAATTTCAGCGACTAACAAAGTATAAATTTTGGCATCATCAAAAAAATGTGAAAATTATTAGGAATATCTGTAATTAGATTTTGATAAGTCAAAATGTAATATAGGATGTATCATGTATATTTAGGTCCCCCATATTTTTAATTTGAAGTCCGGAATTAAGTTGTTAATCATTGCAAGAATTTTCCAAAGTGTTTAACTTTAAGGAAGATCAACACAACAAAATTTTAGTGTTGACATCATGATGAAGTTAACTTATGCTTTGACGGAATTAAGCGGAGCGGTTACATGCTGAAGCTATGGAGAGGAAGAAAGAATGAAAATGCAGATGTGTTATTTCTGTTACTTAGCTTTTGTTTACCAGCTGGGAGCTGAGATGTATATATACAAGAATATAATGAAGAATGAAAAAACAACTCATGTTACAGAGATGATAACAATCTATATATACATGTGTTGGAAGGGTAACAACTAACAAAATGCTAGTAACCATTATTTTCATGCTCTAACGTGCTTCTACCAACCTTTGCTACTAATAACGTTATTAGTAGCAAAGGTTGGTAGAAGCATAAGTTTAGCTAGCAGCAAAGCTTTACCAATAGCAAGAGTTTGAAGCATGACGTAGATGTTGACATCACCAATAATATATGGAGATTTATAAACAGCATGTCTGCATGTGTGCTTTAGCGAGTTCACATCACAATAACTATATGATAATATTTGATTGATTCATTTTATAGTTGATTAATGAACAAATTCTTCTTCTTTTTTTTTTTTTTTTTTTTTTTTACATTATGTCGGGTTAATTAGTCAATTTTAAGTAATTAGTATATAATAAGAATTTCATTACCCATCAAAAGTAAGCATTCAGTAAGAGAAAGAAGCATTATTCTTAATATTAATATTAGTATATATATTATTACAATATATCAATTGATCTAATCTTTATATCTATAATTATGGTTGTGAGTTGTGACAAACAAATCTCCCACAAAAAAAGAAAAAAAAAATTACTGATCCATTGATCTATACTAGAGCTAGGATCAGAAGCAATTCAATGTGCTTAATAAAGACAAAAACACAATTAGACTAGATTTACCAAGGATAAAAAGTAAGATCTTTTTTACTCTAATAAAGTGGTTTCAAAATTTCTTTTGTCACCAACACCCATACCTTCAAAAAGAAAAAGAAAAAAAAAACAATCAATACATCATCACATATATGTATATATCCAAGAAATAAGTCTCCTGTGTTTGTTTTAGAATCGACCAATCTGTCCTATCAAACAAACAATCAATCAATCTTTACCAAAATCCTCAGATTCTCCTCTTGAAGACACAGGGTGAGATTCGTCTTAGCCGTCGCCGTCGCCGTCACCGTCGTCTCTCTCCCTCACTTCCTCAATCCTCTCCAAAGCCTCATTCATGTCCAATCTCTTCAACACATCCACCTCGCAACACCTCAACCCTATTTTGAGCAACTTCATCATCTGCCCCTCGCTCTCCGGCGTCCTCCCCTTCATGTTCTTGTCGAACACCTCCGGCGTGGAGTCTTCCGGGGCCACCGACTGGACCCAGCCGGCGATGTCGGCGTCGTTGCTCTTCCCTTGTTGCAAGAACCCGGAGGGGAGTTTTCCGGTGAGGGTTTCCACGATGAGGATCCCCAGGGCCCAGACGTCTGTTTTCTTGGAAATCCGGCCGCTCCGCCGGTACTCCGGCGACTTGTACGCGATCATGTGCTCCTGAGCATGATCCATGTTGACCACCGGGAGGAGGCCGTAGTCGGCGTGCAGCGCCTCGAAAGATGCGTCGAGAAGAACGTTTGAGGACTTGAGATGGCCGTGCGGGACAATCAAGTCCGGCAGCTCTTCGTATAGAAACATTAGTCCTCTCGCTACTCCCTTCACTATTTTCAACCGTCTTGCCCAATCAAGGCTTTCGCTCCCATTAACTATAAACAAACAAACATCATCTTCCATTATATTATATTATATTATATTATTATATTGCATCAAACACTTAATTAGGATGTCATCAATTTTAACTAGAAACCAATTGACTGATCGATATGATAACAATGGATAATTTCAGGGTTAAGGTCAAAATATTCTATCTCCATAAAAAAATAAAAAATAAAAAAAATAGTGTGATAATCATTGTACAATTGTTATACCATGGACCAGGATTCATCTTGCTTTGCGGATCCTGAAAAATTATGTGTCAATTATATAGCTACATTAACTGTTTATGTGTTTGTAAATAAATTGAAAGCACATATAACATGTAGTGACATATAATATTAAATTGTAATTACACACACAAACTATTAACTATTGTAATTACACACACAAGCTATATATTAACTGCAGGATTTTATACCTGGGTTGACAATTTATGTATCTGAAACATAAATTGTTAACTGCATATACGAAATATGTCACAAATTATATATAAGATAGACCTGGTCCATGGTATAATTTACCCAATTAAATTGTAGAGTTAGGTCAAGAATTTTGAACCTCAGCAAAAAATAAATAAATCCCACAACTAGATAAGACTAGTTCAACACTAAGCAGACTAGCTGATTGACATCCTACACCTACAATCAATCACTTTTAATATTCAGACAAGTCAGACCTAACTAGACTTTAATTAAGCTAGGTCATAGGCCAATTTATATCGTGCACCACGAGATGCGCCCAGGCACAAAACGCGTGTGTTTCATGCTGACGTCATACTAACATCACTCTGTCCATCTGAACATATCAAACCTCATTATCTGTATTCAGTTAAAATTTTATGTGTATTGTGTTATGAGTTTATGTGTATTCAGTTAAGAGTTTATGTGTATTATGTTAACCAAACCCATTATGTGTATTCAGTTAAAAGTTTATGTGTATTATGTTATGAGTTTATGTGTATTATTTATTATGTTAGATTATGTGTATTCTGTTATGAGTTGATGTGCATTCGAAATATGCGATTTTTCTTTTAACAACTTAACAAAACGACGTCATTTTTGGAGGCGCAGTGCACACAGTGCTATGTGCGCCCTGATGCACGGTATAATGACTGCTTACCAGGCGCCTTGCCTATTCCCTCAGTAAATATTCAAACAAAGAAACATAAATTATATTATTACCATGGAGATGAACAGCTAAGCTGACATTTTGTTCGTAGTCAGCAACCAAGAGCTTCTCCTCTTTCCTGTAGTAGAAGGCCGCAAGGGGAACCAAATTCTTGTGATCGAGAGATCCCAGGCGGCGCATGTGTTCATAGAACTCCTCTTTCCCCACATTGGTCATTTGCCTGAACCTCTTCACCACCAACACCGGCCCGTCGTTCAGTGCCGCTTTGTACGTCGATCCGAACACCCCGCTGCCCAGTATCTCCGCCGACGCCTTCAGAAGGGACGCCAAGTCGAATCTCTCTCTGTATGTATATACCCACCCAATCACCAAAATTAAACGTTATCAAATGGTATAAAATTGGCGCAAATATATATATTTACCTGTCATCTCTCAAGAAGGTTAGCCTGAGGCCTGGTTCGGATTTGGTAGAATCTACAGAACAGACCGAAGCATGTTCCAATTGGTCTAAATCAACTGAGGCCGTTCTGCGGTGACTTGATGGAAGTTGTGAGCCTTCTTCCGAGTCCGCCCGCTTGCGCTGGCGGAGGATGATGATGACCGCCAAGATAGCCAACACCGCCGCCCCCACAACTATTCCGACAATGATTAACGTTATCAACGAAAGTTCCGGCATGATGCATGGCTTCAAGGGTTTCCCACACAGACCTTCATTCCCTGAGGTGGCAACCCATTTTCAAACCAAACACTCATCATTACGTCAAAAACTATAGCTAGTAACAAAGACCCAACACATTTTTGATAGCCCAACAATCCCCTAGCTACATGGTACTTAGATTTGGCCTTTGCCGGCCTCCGTCAACAATCTCTTAACCAGATGGTGCTACACTTGACCCTTACCAGCCCCCCAATAATCCCCTAGCGACATGGTGCTGAACTTGTCCCTTACCTTCTCTGCCCAACAATTCTCTAGCCACATGGTGATGGACTTGGCCCGCCTCCAGCCCAACTATTCTGTAACCACATGGTGCTGGACTTGACCATTACGGCCTCCGCCCAGCAATCCCAACGACCTCTGCCCAACAATTACCTAGCCATATGATACTGGACTTGGCCCTTACCGGCTTCCGATCAACAAACAGTAATTAATTAATTTGAATCAAATACTATACTATACGTTGATCGACGTAATGGGATATGATTGAGAGAGACATAACTAACCATGCAATGCAATCACGTAGTACATACATACCTTGAAATGAGGAAGCAGGGAAATGAGAAAAAGTTTGTGGGATTTCACCCTCGAGATGGTTGTCTGAAAAATTGACAAACACAATTCTGGGCAGCTTCATATAAGGTATTTTCCCTTCAAACGCATTGTCATTGAGCTTGAGTTCCAGGAGCCTCTTGGAGATGATTAAGGAGGCGGGAATGGTACCCTCGAAGTTGTTATGGGAAAGATAAAGCTTCTTCAAAGACCGCATTCCGGAAAAGAAGGCGTCGTCAATCTCGCCGGAAAATTTGTTCCGGGAGAGTTTAAGGTTTTTCAATGCCCCGAGTCTATAGAAAGCCGGGAGGTCGCCTTCGAAGCTGTTGTTGACAGCGCTAAAGCTTCTGAAAAGGGGCAACTCGGAAAGGGCGTCGACGTCGATGATGCCACTGAGTCCCCGGTCGTTGATATTCATGCCACGGACGGTGCCGTTGGCGCAAATGACGCCTTCCCAAAAGGAACGATAGCCCAGGCAGGGCGGAACGGAGGCGTTCCAGGTGGTGAACAACCCTTTGGCGTTCTCTAAAGACTCCTTGAACTGGAGGAGGATATCGGCCTCGGATCTGGAGAGGCAAGGGACGGCGAGGAAGAGGAAGAGGAAGAGGAGGAGAAGGAGGAGGAGGCGGCGGCAGGCCATGGTAGGGGTGGGACGCAGTGCGCGCACTTGAGTCAAGTGCGCGCCCTTAGGAAGGGGCTATACCCTACCTGAGAATGACAATAACAAAAAGATGTGTGCCTGCAAGAGAAGGATCCAAAAGAAGAAAATTTGGAACCGGAAGTTTTAGGGTTGGGAAATATGTGAGTTAGCAGAGAAGGAGAAAGGGATTGAATAATGGACAAATGGGTAGAGGGGAAATCAAGTTGACTTAGTCCTCTTCTTTCTGCAATCCCCATTTTAGACTTCATCAGAAACTCAAGCTTCGCCGTTCAATTCATTTCAATTACTTAATACTTAATTGCCTACTTGCATTGCTTCTATATACCCTTAGCTTGGTCCAACATGCAATGTTTCATGCAAACAATAATATGAATATTGAACTTATGCATATATGGGTCATTATATTATACGCCACCGATGTGATTGCCTTCCTAATCAGCAATCATTACACATTAATCTAGGAGAATCAATTTAACCCGACCCAAATAGAAAAACTCGGTCCCCATCCTGATGGGACAAAGATGAGAAATTCTTTTGAAGAATGGAGGTAGGGACAGGATTGCACCCGCACCCCGATCTCACCCCCAATCCCCAAATAGATATTATATATTATAAAGGGAAAATGATGAAATAAATCATTGAACTTTACCTTAAAAGTCAATTAAGCCCTCAAACTTTTTAAAGTTACAATTAGATACATAAACAAGTCAAATTAATTTATTAAGGCCCATTTACTTGTTAATTAGTATCCTGAGGTCACTTAAATTGCTGCCATTGTTCCGGCAATAAAAATCTACAATTGAGATCAAGACCTCGCCGGAAAAGCCGTGGCCACCTCGACGACGGGAGATGGAGACCAAAATGGTCACCTGCTTTGCCGACGGAGATGGCGACCAAAATGGACACAGGGCACCGGGCGGAGGAGGTAGCATGGATCCATGGAGGTGACGAGTTGACATGGCGGATCTAGAACTTTAATTTCCGGTTTTGCGGTTCAAACATAAGCCATGAATGCAAACCTCCAAGACTCTGAGCTACATATCCAAAAGTCGAGCATCCACTCGTAACCAATCTATCACTCATCCCCAGAAGATACATCTCTGCCAACGCCTTCGAGTAGTGCAACGTTTCCTGCCATTTCTGCTGTTTTTCGTGGCTCGGCTGGTGAACTCGGACCACCTCCGATCGCCTGTCAACGTTGGATGCTGCAAATACATGTCTCGAATCCTATCGGCATACTAGGAACTTAAGGATGTCATCAGCACAACTACTTTTGTCTTGTTCTTTTTGCTACTGATGTTTATGTTGGGATCTTTTGGATTGATTATTTGTGGCATATGTTCTCCGATCCTTCAAACAGTATGTTCTTCACGATGTTTCCGTAACAGTGTTTGGAGTTCTGATCATATCCATTGAACTCGCCGGCAACCAGAAAATGCTCCGGAGAAACAAGGAAGTTCCGGGGAACGGTTCGCAGAAGAGCTCCGGGAGAAACAAGGAACTTCACGTATGTTGAGAAGTGATTCGCTGCAATCTGGTAAGTTTTCAATGTCCAAAACTTTTAATTTGCAGAATATTTTGTGTCTATATGTGTGGATGTTTGTATGATGTTGTTGCTATGACTTTTAGTTTTCAGTATTTTTGTTGTGTTTATTGGAATTTTTGGCACTGTGTTTACACAGTGCAGTCATAAAGTATATTTTGCACTGTGTTTAATGTTTATATAAAGTGTTCCTGTGATGATATATTACTTTATTATGCACTATGTTTACACAACTGTACTTTAAACCTGGAGTATTGATGTTGTTATGTGGGGACAGTAATCAATTAATATAATGTAACATGGAGTATTAATATTGTTATGTGGGGACTAGTAATCAATTAATATAATGTTTACTTTTAGCATGTGGCGGAATGTGCTTTTGTAATTGCAGAACCGTAAGGGTGGAAGTCAACAAATTATTTTTTTCCTATTTGGTTCGTTTTCTAAAAAGGAATGAAAATATAAAATATTAATTATTTTAATAATCATAATAATTACAGTACTGAATGTTCAAAATTTATATTTGAATGTTCACAATTTTGTCTACTAAAAACATATAAACTGTGTATTTTGACTCGGATCCACCTTGTAAGGTGGATCCGAGACCATCGCATAATTGTCAGGCATCCAAAGCACAAACATTATAGTTATTACATATTGAATGTTTACAATTTTAAATATTAAATGTTTACAATTTAACATTGAATGTTCACAATTTGAAATGTGAACATTCAGTATATAAATTGTGTATTTTGACCCGAATTCACCTTGCAATGTGGATCCGGATCCATAGTATAACTGTCGGTGGATAAGGCATCCAAAGCACAAACATTATAGTTATTACACATTGCACACACATTTTAGACATTTAATGGGTACTAAATAAACACATAATTATGTTTATGGTGGCAGCAATACTTGATTTAGATATGCTCCAAGGGCCCATATGGGGAAAATGTTTCTGTAGGCAGAGCAGCTTATCATGCCGTTGTTGTTAAATGCTCCCATAATACCCTGTCACATACAAGCTCCATCATAATATACACATCATACTCAACTCCAAGAAATATCAAGAATTATTAAGATAGATGCAGAAAATGCAAATATAAATATAAATAAATATATAATAATAATAATAATAATAATAATAATAATAATAATAATAATAATAATAATAATAATAATAATAATAATAATAATAATAATAATAATAAATCACCTGTTGTGGAAAATCTCCATTTTCCATTTGGGAATTGATTAACAATTGAGCTGCTTGGTGGAGTGGGGTGGGATCTCTCTTGGCCTTATATCAATAAACAAAAGTGGTTAAAAAAAGAAGTGCACAGTGTATATAATTGATTTTTTTTATGCATTAATTAATCTCATACATAAATTTTGTGTCAATCATTTTGATTTTTTGTCCCACAATTATTACACATGCATCTTTGTAACATGTGATCCCTAACTATTATTTTTACCACATTTAATAATGCATAATTTTTAATTTTTTACCACATTTTATCCTTCAATTTTGACCAAACTTCGCCACTTCGGGTAGAAAATAGTTAGAATGCATTATATTTCCATTTTAGCCAATTTGAAAACCTCGACACTTTTGGAGAGAAACATTATGATTGCAAATGGTAAATATGACGCATTATAATTATTTTGGAAATATAATATTTTTCTTCTTGAATTATAATAATATAGTTTATTTCTCTCCTCAATTATAGGCACATCCCTCCCACCCCCCCCCCCCCCCCAACTAGTTATCCTCAAAGTTAATGTTTTTATCTAAATCCATTAGCTATTTACGGTTGGCATCCAAAAATCAAAAACATTATAGATTTTTTTGAATAGAAATATTAGCTAAATCATTCCGTGTCAATGTTCGTATTTAACCCAACATACAAAATAAATAAGATAAGTTATCCTAATTTTCGCTTTCAAATTCTAATTACATGTCCAAAAATGAGAATTGAGAAAAATTATATTGTCTTTTTTGTATGCTGAATTATTGAAGTTAAAAGAATAATGACATTATGAGATTTAACTAATATTTAAAAAAAAAAACAAAAAAAAAACAAAAAAAAAAAAAAAAAAAAACAAACAAACCCTCATTTTTAAAGATTTTGGATGTGTACCATGAATAGTTAATGAGTTTAATTAAAAACAGCCACTTAGAGATAATTGATGGAGAAAAGTGCCATTTGTAGGGGTTTAGTTACAATTAAATAAAGAACCAAATGCAACAAACAATATACCAAATGTGGAAAGAAAATATTGGGAACATGTAAAAATGACCTAATAGTTGTGGGACAAAATATGAAAATAATTTATTTTTACATAAAAATTTGTAATAACTAAAAGATATCATGTCTGCTGTACTATTATAAATAGAAAGAGTGTAAATACAACATTAGTAATTATTTATAAAAATCTTATCTCCCACTTTAATTTACAAATTAAAATTACCTGACCAGCTTCAATAAGAGCCATCATAGCCCATGCAGTGTTCGCAACGTGCCATTTGTTGCCTTCAATATTTGTATATACCTATTCTCCAATAGCATATTTATGTAAAATAATTAAGAAGAAACAAATTAAATAAGACTCTTGTAGGTGGTCTAATGGTACCCGGGTTGGACTTCCATTTGAAAGATTATGAGTTTGAGCCTCAGTGGAGGCGTTATTGGTTCTTTGTGTTTCAGTAGGTTGAGAAAGTATATGAACAGATACTACAATGTAATAGAACCAGTAGCTTTCAAAAAAAAAATAAGACTCTTGTAAAAACTTATAAAAATAATAAAGGAAAAAAAAAAGAGATGTATTAACAATACAAAAGAGAAAAAAAAATCAGAATATAGATCAATAAGTAGGTTGTAGAATCAATTTTATGAAGAGAGATCAAAATATTCATGTAAAATTGCTTCAAAAAGTGCCCAAATCCCTGTCAAAGTTACCTTAATTCTACTAATTAGATCAATGGTTATTTGAGGTGAAATTGTTAATTATTATAATGTGTTGGTTGACTTATTAATATTATAATTGAATTGTATTATACTTAGCTTATACATGCTTAGAACATCACCAATAGCTCAGGTTTTTTTTTTAACCACATAGGAAGGAGAGAGAGAAAACAACAAAAAAAAAAAAACAAAAAAAAAACAAAGAGGGAGAATAAAAAAAGAAAGGCAAAAAAAGAGCATATAGCTGCAATCCAACTATAAGCTTAGCCTTTTAGTTGAAATGGAGCACATGCTTCAATTTGGTATCAGAGCCAGACCAAAAGTCATGGGTTTGAATCTCATCAACTACGGTTTACCGGTCCACGTGTTGCTTGGAACCCACCGCACACGTGGGCATATAGCCATTAACGTGCAATCCAACTATAAGCGGCTGGGCAAGCTTATTTTTAATTTTTTCAATTGTAGAGCCTACAAAAAGTTTACAGGAGAAAAAATTTGTATTCGTGCAATTTTTTATTTTTATTTTTTTCTTTTTTCTATTCTCTCCCCTCCAACTTAGCCATCTTCTATTCCAAATGTATTAAAACTCCACAAAAACCCCTAATGAGGAGGTTGCTATCATTTA